CACAACCCCGTGTTTGAACACAGAGATAAGACAGACCAGCTTTTTTTCATCCATCAAGCCCCTTTAAGCTTTCTGGGCATTACTCACATCTCTGGGTTTTAATAGCTTTTACAAAATAAAGACTGAACATTAATTTTAATAAATTCCTGTTTTGGTTACTGGCTAGTTAATCAATTCCCAAGGGGATTTATTTGCTTAGCAAAGATAACACATGACACATGTCGATTGGATGCACACAAAGCATCGGTCACCTGATTCTCCAAACAGCAAACACTCTGCGATAATGCAATACAAATAAACCAGCCTTGGCCACAAGAATGTTCACAAATGATTTGGAAGATTCTGTTCCCAATACAAGATATACCTAACCGCAAAAACCAAATAGCATTAATTAAAAATAAACATTTCAATTCGTTTCACACTTTAGTGAATATCCCTGGTGGTTTTTGGTTATACTCATCCCTTATGACCCTCTTTTTTTTTTTTCACATTTCTAACTTCACTTCTACTCTACTTACAACACTCTCAATGTTCAAGCTGTGCCGTCTTCAATGAACAATGCATTCATCCAACTAGCACTAATTCACTGATATACCATGTGTCTGCTTGAAATACTACTCCCCCATCTTCAAGTATGACACCGATGTTCCTACCTGCATTTCCGAATACCATACACATCACCAATTTCCCCTTGTAATTTTACTTATTTTTGTTTAATATATATGTAGAAGTTGTTGGACAAAGCAAGTAGGATGGTTTTTACATGACAATATTTGTGTGCTTCATTGGCTACTAACTATATTATTGCTGCTACTGAACACTTGATTTATTACTTTGGGTTGTACAATTTATCATGGCTTTAAGACTGATGCTGGCAATTTCTTTTGTCTCTCTTCCCCCCCCCAACCCCCCCCCATCTTTTCTGGAAAAAGTGAGCAAGTTAAAATTGCTATGCCTTTAAATGTGTGAGATTAGAGTCAATTCAATGTTTAAAAAATGTAAAAATCGTCATAGGCTGCTTCTGTTCCACCCTAAGTGGACCTGCGAGTCCAAACTGAAGTTTACCTAATGTTACCTAACAAACGAAGCGACCGAATGCAAACGTTACATTAGTTTAGGGACAAGAGCTGCATGCTGAAAGGGACCTGCGAGTCCAGCGAAATTGTGGGCCTGCGCGCCCCGTTGCCCGAAGTAAAAAAGTTATGCACATGTTGTACCTTGGTTACTGTGCCCTAAAGGCTTACGGAGACCTGCGAGTCTCAATGTGACTTATTCTTGACAATATAAACTGAAATAAAAACATATTTACAAAAAAAAAAAAAAATGTAAAAATCGTAATCCTTGCATTGAAACGTTAATCAACAAAACATCTGAATTAAATACGGACACTACATATATTTAGCACGCTTGTGGAAAATGTTCAAATATTCTTCCAACTTGTCACTGGTGAATATATTGAAGTTGGTCATTTAGAAAGCAGTTGGGGAGCTTTGTGAATAATTCATTCCCCGTGCCACTTTTTGATCCATTTTAAAAGAGAACCATTAGAAATTATACCATTAAATAGAACATTTAAAATGAATCATAACCACGTTTAGCTTTTGTTTTGTATGTTGCGCCATTTTCTTTTAAATAGATATTAAAGCTTTAGCAAATGACATCACAGTCCCGTTCAGACCAAGCAAAGACAGGACACACATTGCAAATGAGTGAATTAATAGAAACAATAGAAAAGTGATTTAATTCCTAAATGGCAGATAATTGAGGAGTGAGACTGCAGAGACATGATCTATACACCATTACTGCTTCATTAAGCTAAAGTTGTGCTGGTGACTATAGTGTCCCTTTAACATAAAGGAACAAGAAGTTGTTGAGGGCCTAAAATGTATCGGACTATCTAAAGGAAATGGATTAAAAGTACATAAACGGTTATATAGAAAGTTGCCCTTGGCCTACTTTGACTTAATATGGGTGTAGTAGTTGCAGTAAGTGGGTTAAGCAAAGACAAGCCAAAATCACTTTCATTGCCAACATATAGTATCACAAATTTCTGAGCACAGTCACAGTTACAAGGTCTGTGTCTGCCTTACGTGCATCTTCTCATGTTTGTTATACTGTTCTAACGTTAACAATATTGTGCTTCAATTTGGGGTGGGGGTGTACTGGATTGAGAGTATTCCATTACAATGGCAGTTGAAGAAAGAGAAGGGGGTTGGGGTGGAAGATAAAATCTTTAAAAAAAAAAAAAAAAAAAAAGGATTAGTCTCCTTCTCACCATCTGTTGCCTCTGTGACACACTTGAAAGGTCAGTGTTAAAAATCTGCGACTTAAATACTCAGAGGAAAAAAAGCCACATGTTAGACTTGGAGTCAGCATGTCATATCTGTATCATTGTCTTTATTCATATTTTAATGAGTGAATTAGAAAATAGAGTGGATAGGCAAGTAATATAGGTGACGCTAATATAATATAGTCTAACTTGTACACTGCCTTACCTCTGTAAAAGTATAATCTGTTCATGAAATTATATTTTATACATACATAGACATGGTGTAGCTTATGTTTCATGATTCATAGTAACTTTGATTTCAAAAAAATCTTTTCGTTAAAATAGATTCTAAAAGCTTGACAGTTTGGGGCACTTTTGTACTTAGATTAATTGACAACGGATAAATATGTTACCATTACCTTCTTCAAATATACTCGTTTTATTTCTCAGATAAAATAAAATATAAAAGCTGAGTTGGCCATACCAGGAATTAAAGTTTGAACAGGTACTTGAGTGTATGTAATAAGAGAAATTGTGATAGCTTCCTGTCAAGGGCACGGTTTTCATGGAGATTGTTTGATATAGTGACAAGTACATGTGATACAGTTAAGTTACTTGTTACTATCTATGCAGAATAAACAGTAAACAGGAACAAGAGTGGGCTAGCCTGGTTATTATTAATGTGATGTGTTCAGCAGAACAGTCAAATCTCCATCTGTAAGATTATCAGTAGACATACTACTGAATGGTGCATATGCATCTTTGATGTACAATCTATTTAGCTCACCTTATGGACTTTCTCATTTTTCTATATGTTAAAATAACAAAATTGTATATCCCATATTAATATATTCCATTGCTTTATAATTCTTAAGGTTATGTCAAGCGATCCTTTTTGGGTACCAACCACAGAGGAAGAATATTTGCACTTTGGCGAGAAGGCGGATTCTGAAAACCAGGCCCGGAAATACATGAATTCAGTAAGGAAACGGAAGGGACTTGTTGTAGAAGAGAAGATTGTGGAACATGCAGAAAAACAAAGGACTCTAGGCAAAAACAAGTAATGATTCCAAACAAAATCCTTCCAAACTCTTCTGGGGAATCATTTAATCTTATTGATGGTATATTTAAGAGTATCAGATTTTAATAAAACCTGTCTGTTCAAAATATCAAAATCCACTGGTGTTTTTGTTTTGTATCACATTAAATAAGTGCGTGGTTAGTAGAGGCACAAGTGTTTTACAATTCTTTAATCAACACTTTCGATATGGCCTAGAGATTCATGATTTGAAGTTTCATTGTACCATTTGGATATCCATCTTGTGGACAGTTTGTATCATTGTATGGTTAGAGTGGCTGCCTTTTAATAAGTTCTACCCAGTTATACCTAGTGTCGTCATTTTCTTTAATCAGTGTAAGTTTGCTCACAGAGAATCAAATTATACCCAGTAAGGATACATACTGTTTACTTCCATGATAGCTGTAAAATTGATGGGTCACCTCAATTTTATAACTTAGTATAATTTAGAATACATGCCTTGTGTGACATGACATGACAACCATATAAATAATTATTACTTGCCTATTACAAAGTTTAACATTTCAGCCTATTTGGTTGTGGTAATTATTTTTAAATACTGGAAGCACAAAAGAGTAATTTAATGTTTCACTGTGATACCTTGATTCAAGCAGGGGTTCCAACTTTACCATGACAACTAAAAAAAAACAAACAAAAACATGCAGTTCTTTATACCCATTAGTCATTTAAAGCAGTCATTTAGAGGGATTAGCTTCAGGCTTTGTGAATCAGAGATTCTACCCTTAGAACTCCATTCCCCCAGAATATCTCAGTAAGTTCTAAGGTACAATCACCTGGGGCCTCTCACAGTCCTGACATATGTGTAATGGATATCCTTGGCACATACCATGTTTGTTAACTTTATTTCCCATAATGCATCATCATCGAAAATGTTTTTAATACAATTTGCATTGCCGACTTTAAATATCACAATATTGCGAGACGTCTTAAACGTATTAAAGATGATTGGACCAAAAACAAAAAAACAAAAAACACAGAAAAAAAACTATATAAAAAGCAAGATAGCATTGGCACCTAATATTTTTATTGGACGTGTCCCACGTAATCTTCTTTATGGTGTCAGTAGTAGACCTAATAAGAACTAATACTTTACTGATCCAAATAGGCTATTACTGGAAAAATAAAAGCATCCAGCTGGGCAGACAGATGCCATAGCATTTCACTTCTGGATATTTTGAGTCCCAGGTTTTGCCAAATGTTTGTTTGAAGTAAAGCCTGTCTGCCTTCACATGGCTAATTCCTTCTTAGAAATAAAACACTAATTTCACTGCAAATCAGATGAGCACCCAATTAGGAAGGGGGGCCAGCTTTCCTCTATGTCTGCAGTAGAATAATATGGATACCCCACATTCTCTTTAAAAAACAAAAACAAAAAAAAACACAAACGTTGCCCAAAATATAAACCTTTCACATATCTAGTGATTTCCATTCAGCTGCTTTTTGTGAATTGGGCAGCTGCAACCAACTCTCCAAGAATATGTACTCTCCTGATTCTGGACTCAAAGGTTACGAGATGAGAACATGGGAAGCATATGTTATGTATTCATATAATGAGCCGTATGCTGTAATCTAAATGTTATCTTGTATGTCTTCTGATATGGTAGAGTTAACATGACTGAACTTTGGCTATTTGCTTAATTTAGACACATTTCTACTGAATATCAGCTATTATTGATTTAACTTTGTTTTATTATCTATCTTTAGTGTACTGTAGTGTCAGCATCTTAAATGAGTTTGTTCTTTTAGAATAATGTGCCTTCCTAAGATCGTGAGCTAAAGAGTAACATTTTTAATGCTAGAACAGAAACTATTTTTTTAGGTATGCCCCACTGTCATTCCACTTGTTGTGCAAACCTGGAGTAGAATGACTGGAGTAAAGGATGAAACGAAAAGTGTTTTATTTTCAAGACTGACACACAAAAGAAACCAGTAGAATAATTCTTGTGACCTCTGCCCACTCTTTTATAGTTGTATTACTGTTATATAGTACATATTGAATGCTGAATACATAAATCCATCTTACAGGTTACAGATTTAGTTTTAATTTTATAATGGCTTAAAATAAAAGAAGTAAAAAAAATTGAATTCAGTTATGTTTGTTTCTATAGACAATGTAATAGAGCAGCAGGAAATAGGGAAGTGCTCATGCCATTGTACAGAACACTGGTGAGACCTCACTAGGAGTATTGCACACAGTACTGGAGACCGTATCTTCAGAAGGATATTGATACCTTAGAGAGGGTTCAGAGAAGGGCTACTAAACTGGTTCATGGATTGCGGGATAAAACTTACCAGGAAAGGTTAAAGGATCTTAACATGTATAGCTTGGAGGAAAGACGAGACTGCGGGGATATGATAGAAAAATTTAAATACATAAAGGGAATCAACACAGTAAAGGAGGAGACTATATTTAAAAGAAGAAAAACTACCACAACAAGAGGACATAGTCTTAAATAAGAGGGGCAAAGATTTAAAAATAATATCAGGAAGTATTACTTTACTGAGAGGGTAGTGGATGCATGGAATAGCCTTCCAGCTGAAGTGGTAGATGTTAACACAGTGAAGGAGTTTAAGCATGCGTGGGAAAGGCATAATGCTATCCAGATATAAGATAAGGCCAGGTTCTAATGAAAGTATTTAGAAAATTGGGCAGACTAGATGGGCCGAATGGTTCTTATCTGCCGTCACATTCCATGTTTCTATATGGAATTTGCATTGTAAGAAAAAACTAGTCAGAACTAATTAAAGCTCTTGATGACTTGATCAAAGTATGGACATTTCTGGAAACCCTCCTTGTTTTTTTTTTAAACTATATTTTTAGAAGAACTGATATTTTGCTGTCACATTCCAGGTTTCTAAAGCTCATCATGTGACATTTGTCCTTTATTGCACCCCACAAATGGTGCTGGTCAAACAAGTGGCTGTGATATACTGTTTATACTGTTGGTCACAGAAGACGTGTATGGTGCCCTTCAAAATTCCTAATTAAATGAGAATGATCTACTAATCATCACAAACTTCATTCAGAAAGGTTTTTTTTATCTGTTCCAAAGAAAAGAACAATGACAATCTTACCATTCTTGGAATGAAACATTTGTATTGTGTCTCTCGGTATATTGTTTTCCTGAAGTTGAATTTCCCAACCTTGTACCACGTGCTGTGTCGGTGATATTTTATAAAGAATGATTAAAAGAAAAAAGGTTCATATTCTACTCTGAAATGTCGTTGGCTATTTTTTGGCTCCATAGAGGTTTGAGTTTATTTCAAATGTCTGTGTTAGAGGCTACATGTTGCAAGTTGTTTTAGATCAAGACATGATAATATTAATAGTAAATAAACCATATCCCCTAATGCATATGGTTTATAAAAACACAGAACTACAACTATTTACAAATCTATGTTCTTTCCTTATTTTTTTATTATAAATATAATTATATATAGCAATGCTCGAATTACTAATTTGTGTTTCTAATTTAACCCATATGTCTTTAAAGTGTAGACGGATTTTTGTAGACTGGTTCCAGTTATGTCTTCATCTGTTGCTGCTCCTAAAATCTGACATTTATACAAAATAACATAATGATGGAACTGTGGTCAATAATGTCAAATGTAATCTTACTTTATAAATGAGCAGCATTTAGATAAGATTTCTAAACAAACCCGTCTCCTTCACAGTTCATACAACGCAGATATTGTGGTGTATAGCTTTTCTTAGAGTATAGCTACACCGTGAACAGCTGTACTGTGTGTTGATTACAGACATCTAGTACCCCTAGAATTGCTTGGATAGTTTTTGTTTAGGAGATCACATTTTCAACAGATGCAGGATTTTTTTTTTCCCCCATAGCAGCTATGCTGTTCTTTCTTTGGTCCATTGCTTTCAATTCACGGGTAAACTGACCTTTAACCTTTATCTAATTAATTCCAGATTTTTTTATATATATATTTCACTGGAGAGAATGGGTTTGCATTAAAGCCGTGCAATGCTCCTATGGAGATATTTAAACAAAAGATAGTGAAAATCAATAAGATTTGCTATTACATCTAACTGCTATAAACTCGCACCTTTTGATTCTCGTGCCATGTAATACAAGAAGTATATTAAGAAATGCTTTGACCCTGGGCTTGCTCTCCGTTAGAGCTTTGTGTACAGTATGTTACTGAACGCTGTATGGCTCCTTCAGAATAAACTTTTATTTATTTGTCTCACACATTGAGCATCTCTTACAGTGCTAAACAAAGTGTCTTTGGACTGAAAATCTTCATCTATTTATTAAATAAAAATGTATTCTAGTTCTTTGCTTGACGCCTTGTATGAGGCTGTTTTTCTATTTTTGTCTTTTTTCTAGTGTAGGATTGATTTTAAAAAAGAAAGTGTAACGGAGCTCCTTGTACTCCGACTGAGTACCCTCCGTTGACGGATGCTCCTAGCGCTTCCTGAGGACTCCAAGCGCTGCAGCAGACACCACAACCACCGCAGACTCCTCAACCGCCGTATCTTGACTGGAGTCTCGCCGTCTTCCTTCCACCCTGGATCAGCTTCTGTCCTCCAGGACTATGTGGGAAAGAACTCTTCCTTCCACCCTGTACGAACCTCCAGCATCCAGGACTGTGTGGTGAAGACCCCTCCTCCAAGGAGAGCGTGTCAGGAACAAGCTCTTAAAAGAGCTAAGTGACTCAAGCTCAGGGGAGCATGCAGAGCATAGCAATCCCTAGTGTGATTATAACAGTTCCCTCCAATAACGAGTCAAGGCTACGTTTAGAGGGCTCAAGAAGAACTGTCAAAACCTTTATTCCCTTGGGACCAGCCAATACAGTCACCACAATAACATTGTTGTGAAACCTCAATAAAATCACAAACAGTCAAACCATATCAAGAAACACACAGTGACTTATCACAACACAATGGCACATTTTTAAAGGGGTGGGGGGAGACAATATTTAACAGTAAATATCTCACCTGCCTGCAGAATTAGCAATATGCAAATCTACCCGAATATGCAAATGAACCAGTCTTGCAATTCAGGTAGTGCATATTGCTGTTGCTACCAACAGAGGGCACTAGACAAGCTCCATAGCCAAACCCACCTAGTTGGTAGCAAACCTCAGCAATACAAGAGAGCAGGCAACACATTACACAGTACACACACACACACAATAAACAATTACTTTACACACACCCTGCACCTATAATGGGTACAGGGTGACTAAAACATAAGATAAATAAAGCAGCCTACATAAATAGTCTGTCTGAAGGTAGAATAGGGGCTTTAAAGGCAAATACATCAAAGAGTCATAGTCACAGGGGAGGAGGCTGGCAAGCAGGCCTCTCCAGTACCAAGTGGCGAAGGGCACTTCGTCACAGAGGAGATCTCTTGGAAAGAGGGCAACTTTTTAGTCACATGTGATATGACTTCATACTGCATGAGATAGGGTTAGAAGCTGTGCAATATTTTTTACAGAAACATAATTTTAAAGAGGAACAAGTGCAATTCATTTTAGAACGTATTCGCTTAATTTTAACCAATAATTTCTTCTGGTTCAATTGTTTATCTTCAAACAAGAGGGACAGCGATGGGCACCAAGTTTGCCCCTAGCTATACCAACTTGTTCATGGCGTATTGGGAAGAGCAATTCATATGCCAGGGACACCCTTGGGGGGCGAATTTGGTGTGCTATCACCGTTTCATAGATGACATATTTTTCATCTGAATAGGCACTGGTACAGATTTGGATTCTTTTATTACGTACCTGAACAATAATGAATGGAACATCACTTTATCCACACAGATTAGTACAGAAGGAATCAATTTTTTAGACTTGGATATCAACATAGTAGATGCACATATAACTACCAAGAATCATTTTAAAGAAGTGGACACATTAGGAAGGAAAGTTGTCACCACACACCTTAGCTATCAAATGCCCCTAGAGGTCAATTTTTAAGAATAAGATGGAACTGCTCAAATGATGAGGATTATATAGCACGCGCAGGTAGGATCAAAACTCAATTCCTACAAAAAGGAAATGAAGAAACCAAACTTCAGGCAGCTCTAGAAGAGGTCCTTAAGCTACCAAGAAAAAAAAAACTCCTAGTATATAAAGACAAAAAGAAAGATCAAAAATGAAACAAGAATAACATTCTGTTTAGTTGCAGTTTTAATGGAAATAATAAAAAATAAACAAAATCGTAAACAAATACTGGCATATCTTACAAGATGACCCAATCCTTAAAGGCATTCTACCAGAAAACCCCAAAATAAGTTATATAGCAGCCAAAAATCTTAAAAGCACTTTAGTACAAAGTAGTAATAAAGAAATAGCATCGATCAATAATTTAAGTATGGGTTTTTACGGATGTGAGCAGTGCCTGGCATGCAGGAACAGAAAACGGCACATAATAGATACATACCGAACCACGCAGACACTGACAGACTCACACACACACAGACATACTGACACACTGACAGACATACTGGCACACATACACTGACAGACACGCACACATACAGACATACTGAACCACACAGACACTGACAGACACACACACAGACATACAGATACACTGACAGACATACTGGCACTCTAACAGACATACACTCAGACACTCATGCAAAATTTGATAACCACCCTCCAATTTCTTACCTTTTCCTGGAGGGTGGCTTCAGTGGGGTGGCTGGGAGATAAGCTCTCCCAGCCTGGCCCCCTGCAGAACAGCTCCTTCCTCCCGCGCGGCTCCTGTTTCTGTGGGAGGAAGTGACGCGCGGCTCTCACTTCCTCCCAATTCTGCCGAAAAGCAAGGGCCCGATCACGCTGTTAAAGCGCCACAGCACCCGACCGGGCCCCTGCTGACACAGAGCCACCGGGTGGCCCTAAGTGAATGGGCCACCCGATGGGCCCCCATATTTTGCGAGCAGCGGGCAAACGGAG